AAGTTCAGCAAACAGATGAATCAAATGCAGCTTGATGGGGTCTCAGTAAACAATATAACCAAAGCCTAGGGACAGATCTGCTCTTCCTCCTCATTGTTAATAACAGTATCGGAGGCTGACATAAAAACTTGAATCCCTAGCTGGGAAGATTTGTCCCTTTTTGCTTTAGATACTAAGAGAGACTGCGTGGAGGACTGGTTCTACATTCTCATCTAGCAGTCTAGTTTCTATAAAAATGATGCTCACACAGCAGCTGTGAATTCTAAAACTGCTGCTGTATTTATGAAAGTAAAAATAAGTCAGTGAAATATACTCTGTAAACAGAACAAGCATTTTAGTTTATTTTACTTATCAGCACTATCATGGAAAATGTAGAATGATGACATCTTAAATTAACATGCTCTTTAACAGAGAAAGACAGACTTCTTTCCCACCCCAAAAATTTTACAAACACATACAAGAGAGAGAGGCTTTGGATTACTTCCTCTCAGTTCTCCTGGAACTCAATACAGAAGGTCTATTTGTTGATTTTTCCTCCCCCCCAACACACACAAAAAACAGCTTTGGCAAGAAACTGTATTCTTCTGTCCAATACTACAAAAAATGAATAGAAACAAGAAAAAAGGAGGCCAGGGAATAAAATTACCAGGAGAAAAGAGAAAACACTATTTTCTATATGGTTTGAGTTGGCAGGAAATGTGGCATGCAATGTATACTATACCTGGTCTGAAAGCCTGGTATCTTGTAGAAGAAGGAATTGTTCTCCTAGGATTAATTGAAGTAACAAATTGTTCTTTTTAATTAAGTTTAACCAAGTGTACACTTAGTTAAAAATTCTTCACTCTTCCTTAATGTTTACTGTTAAAAATACTTATTTTTCATAAAATGTGTTTTAGAACAGACTAAACTGGATTTTATTGGAATATCAGAAAGAAATTAAAAAATAAACCAGCACTGTTATATTCAAAATATAGAACTGGACTTCCTGTGAGATAAGCACCGGAAATGTGATCATGTTGCACCATATTTCAAGATCAGTCTTACAGTGTGGTTAAATAACTTTAGAATGCTGCCTATTGTATATAGGATGCTCCAGTAATGTGACTGATACACAACTCTTACCACGCTTCCTTTAAATTAAGGGAGAGAATTCAGCACAGGATTGGAGTGTCCGTTATGTACAGCTCTTATTATATTGTAATAAAATTAAATTTTACAAGCACTGTCTTGATGTATTTTTGTTTGCTATGGAGCTATGTCAAGGACCTGATGTTGTAAAATCTGTAAATACTGAGTTTTGTCACTTTTTTATTTAGACTAGTCTTGACTATTACCCCAAATTTGCTTTGCTTACCTTTCTACAAAACGTAAATCAAAAAAAGGGCAAAATACTTCAAGTTGCCACAGGGGAAGAAAAAAGTAAGAAGAACTGGCTTACCTCACAGACTACACTAGCTTTTATGTCAGAAAAAGCTCCCATTTTCTACTGACAGTTTTTAATGGTGGTCAGAAGAGAAAAAAGTCTTGTAGAAGCATGCTATACAAGCTAAAATAAAAATTTTAAAGCTGTCTCTGGTTTTGTGCCAAACTCCTTTCCTTTCCAGATTACAACTGCTCAGTTGCACATGTTGCTGACTTCATGATTACGTAACTGTTTCAAAACTCTTCAAGCCTCTCTTCCTTTTCCCTTGCCAAGGAACAAAGTTAACAGTTTTTACTGAAAACCAGTCGAACTGAAAATCATACTGTTCCAATCAACAAGAATCATAGCAAAAATCCGCTAAGTGCTATGCTAACAGGGAATAAGGATCAATTTCCTATTTATTTTCAATTAACATTTTCTCTAAGCTTAGAGGGAACTCTTCTTTATTCCTTGTATAGTCCAAACTTTTCTGAATCACAAATCTTGTGTTGCTATAAACACTAAGAGACATAGTTTCCATCCCTATTCAGTTTATTCTGGTAAGTGAATAAATCATCTATAAATCATCTGTAGAAACCTAAAGACTCTAAAGACTTTAAATAAATCTCTAATGAGTAATTCAGAAGCATTAAGAATCATTTAAAATAGCACACATTTAGAACTGAAAGCAGTAAGATAAAATTGTATTTCAGAATAGATTTCAAAGGAATGAGTTAACATCTTCCTACCCCACACTTTTTGTATGATACACTTTTGTTTCTACCACATAAACTGAAAATAATGGAGCCCAATGTACACACTCTAACTGAATGATTCTAGTGAATATAGCTCCATATCCTCGTCTTCAAAAACTTTAAAACTGATAGGGATTTTGGGACAATTAGTTATTTACAATGAACACAACAGGTGAAGGAACTTTGTATTAAATGGTGCTGGCAGATTTTGGGCAAAAGAGACAAAATCCAACATCCTGAAGTTAAAAAGGCACAACAACTTCAGAGATTTGGATTTAAGTTGGATTTGTCCTTGCTGTATGTTTCACACTAGTCCACTGGATGGCTCCCTTATCACTCTCTGTTTTTGTATTTCATAACCATCACATTATCAAGTTGTCCCGATATCTCATGGATTCATGACTAGGGAAACTTTGCTCCAAATAACTAAAAAGTTTATCCATTTGTGTTCTACAGACTTACAAACACAGTGTCCTCCTGAAGCAGTGAAATTCAGTTTCCTGTGCAAAAGAGCCATTGACAATCTATGAGTGTAAAAGAAGGTGAAACTGATATATAATCTGGAAAAAGAAAACACAATACGCTCGCAAACAATCAAAATGAATTGGGTTAGATTCTGTGCCATGTTCTCATAACTCACTACCAGCAAATGACAGATGTAATCATCCTAACATTAAGTAATCCACTATGCTTAGAAACCCTTGTAAAGGGAACGTGGCAAAGAAAATCAGGAGCAGAGGCATATTCAAAATGCTCAGCTTTGTGGGGCCCTACAATGATATGAATGAAAGGCATCTGCTAGTGTATGGTTTGGTCCCTGCAGCAGCTTGGATTTGAAGCTGTAGATTCACATTAAATTTAGTCCTATGTAACAGCAGGTTGATCCTAAAATAGGCAGTCCTGCTCAATGCTTTCTTCGGTTAGGCCTAATAATAGTGTTACTGTAGGATATGTCAAATCAACCAGCTGATGGCATGGAATTTTCTAACGTGTTAGTTTTAGATCAGATGGTAAAAATCTGTGATTATAGGACCTCTTACAAGGTATAGCATTCAGTTATAGTGGGTAACATGAAACCACGCCCTCTGGGGTATAAAGCATTAGCTTTATAGCCCTTTAATTTCTCCATTTTTCCATGTCTGTTGCATTTTTAAGCTGTATTTCTAAGGAAATTTTATTACTTGATACAAAATTACTTGATAAAATCACCTACACTGGTCCTAAAATTCCTGTATGTCTCCTAAAAAAACCCTAAAATATCTTAGAGTTCTACAGTCCATACTCTATAGATACTTGTTTGAAAGAAGGGAACTCTTACTCAACAAAACAGAGCTGGAGCGGAATTGCCCCAAACGTACGCATGCATCTAGGGAAGAGCCTATGAGATCACACTATGGAGAAAGATCTGGTGCCCTTCCTAGGAGGTTAGTGTGCTGAGGTGCCTCTCCGAAGCATCTGTGCACTAATGTATGCAGCCTGGGAAACAAACAGGAGGAATTAGAGGTCTGCGTGCAGTTGCAGTACTACGACCTCACTGGGATCACAGAGAAATGGTGGGATAGTTCAAACAACTGGTGTGCTGCCATGGATGGGCATGGTTTTTTTAGGAAGGACAGGCCAGGAAGGCAAGGAGGGGGTGTCACCCCTTACGTGAGAAAGCAGCAGGAATTTTGTATGGCGGTGTGCAAGGGTTGACTGAGAGTTTATGGGTAAGGATTAAGGAGCAGACCTATAGGAGTGACAATATTGTGGGTGCTTGCTATAGGCTGCCTGATCAAGAAGGAGTAGACAAGACCCTCTTCAGACAACTAGAAGAAGCCTCATGGTTGCAGGCCCTGGCCCTCATGAGGGACTTGAATCACCCTGATACCTGCTGGAGGGACAGCACAGCACGGCACAAGCAACCCAGAAGTTTCCTGGAGTGCACTGACTTACCTAACACAAGTGAATGAGGAATTGATGTGGAGAGATGCTCTGCTGCAGCTCATACTTACCAACAAGGGGATTAGTCAGGGATGTGAAGGTCAGGGGCAGCCTTGCCATGGGCTAAGATGGTGGATCCTGTGAGAAGGGAGCAGGGCAAGAAGCAGAATCACAATCCAGGAACTGAGGAGAGCAGACTTTGGCCGGACAGAGATGTTAAGGACAAGGAAGACTAGGAAAAAAGTGGGCGCACTGCTACATGGGGTAGTGGCCATGGTGATAAAGGACAAAGAAACGACCAAGGTAGTCAATGCCTTCTTTGCCTCAATCTCTACTGCTAAGACTGGCCTTCTGAAATTCCAAGCCCTTGAGACCAGATGGTAAGTCTGCAGTAATGAAGGCTTACCCTTACAAAGAAGGATCATATCAGGGAACCCTTAAACCGGACCTGCAGAAGTCGATGGGACCTGAATGGCATGCACCCATGAGCGTGAAGGACCTAGCAGAGGTCACTGCGAAGCCATTCTCGATTAGCTTCGACAGGCTGTGGCAACTGGGAGAGCTTCCTGCGACTGGAAGAAAGCAAGAGTCCCTCCTGTACTCAAAAAGGGCAAGAAAGAGGACGTGGGGAACTGCAGGCTGGTCAGCCTCACCTCCGTCCCTGGGAAAGTGGTGGAGCAACTAACCCTGGATACCGTTTCCAGACACAGGAAGGACAAGAAGGTGACTGGGAGCAGTCAGCATGGATTTAGGAAGGGGAAACTGTGGTTATCCACCTGATAGCCTTCTAAAACGCGATGACTGGCTGGCTGGATGAGGGGCGAGCAGTGGATGTTGTTTACCTTGACTTTAGGAAGGCTCTTGACATTGTGTCCCGTAACACCCCGCAGCGACAAGCTGATTAACTACAGACCAGAGAAATGGAGAGTGAGGTGGCCTGCCAACTGGCTGAACTGCTGGCCTCGGAAGGTTGTGACCAGTGGCAGAAAGTCCAGCTGGAGGCCCGTCAGTGCTGGTGTCCCCCCAGGCGTTGATACCGGGTCCAGTACTGTTTAACCTCTTCATTAACGGCCTGGAGGATGGGACAAAACGCACCCTCAAAAAGTTTCACAGGATCACAGAATGGTTGAGGTTGGAAGGGACCTCTGGAGATCATCTAGTTCAATTCCCTGGCTCAGGCAGGGCCACCTAGAGC